TTTCTCATAGAATACAGTAGATGGCGCCAGCCGTGTTATGAAATCATTTGATTTTACAAAGCACTGCTAACTAAATATCTAAAAATTTACAGCGTTTTTACCTTTACGTGACACAATAATATTACTTAAAAAAATTCATTTTATCTGTAGTGGTATATCAGCTAATTGAGAAAGACACTAATTTCAAAGTTATGCATTATACTTATATCGATTTAGTTCTCAAATGCCTTACACTAAAGGATATCTAAACTGAAAATTTCAAGAAGAAAATGAAAAAATCAATATGAAGATGTTTGAATGCTTCAGCTATAAATCAGTGCTACCTTTTCTTTCATATTCGAAACATTTCATATGCTATCTACAAACATGGCATAATTTTATCACGTGGTATAGTACTTTTTAGTGATGGCACCTTAATTGCTGTGTTTTAGTACTTTCTCAGTTTAATCGCTTAAAATATACGTAAATGATAAGGAATAATCATTGAAAACTTGAAATAACATATGAATACGAAACATAATATACAAACAGATTTTTATAGCTTCATTAGACATAAAGAGATGTGTCAGGATGGCCGAGCGGTCTAAGGCGCTGCGTTCAGGTCGCAGTCCACTTCTGTGGGCGTGGGTTCGAATCCCACTTCTGACAGACGTTGTATTTTTAGTCGAGATTTTATACATTGCAGTGCGATTGTAAACCTTCCATTTATTTTGCAGTCGCTCTCAAAAGGTTGTAAAAGCAGCAATATTAATTTCCTAAATGTGATGCCAATTCAGAACTATTAACGCAATATAATTTTATAAGGAAGATGTTTTAAGAGTGCAAAATTGAAGAGGTAGAATAGAATAACTTACATCATTTCGCACTAGTTTAGGTATACTTCAGAAAGCTTGATTTATTTTTGAATTTTACTTAAGTAAATTTATTTATTTATTTATTTCCTAAATAATCCTGTTTATTGCACTGATGACATTAGTCACTTGATTTTAACGATAGGCAATGATCAATGATCTCATTAGACAACTGAAAAAATAATCTAATTTTTAAAATTTATTTATTTAATAAATATTCTGTAATTAAACAAGGCTAAAATTCACCCGAAATTCTTCTTTACTTGCGTAAATAATTTACTTCATTATCTTAGACGTGACTGCAACGTCCTGAATTTTGAAAATTTTGGAAAACGCCTGAGCGTGTCAGGATGGCCGAGAGGTCTAAGGCGCTGCGTTCAGGTCGCAGTCCACATCTGTGGGCGTGGGTTCGAATCCCACTTCTGACAAAAAGAATTCTTTCCTTAATATATTAAAACTGATTATTTATTAAAATTTTCAAAAGACCATTTTCATGCCCTTCCCTTTTCTTCTAAGCATTACTATAAGACAAATGAACATTAATGGAACGTATGCGTAATTGGAAATTTCTAATGATTGTATTTTATTGCAACAACTATTAGAAGGAAATTTATTTCTAGTTAAAAGGTAATACCATAACAGAATTACATATATAGTAGAATTCTAACTATCCGGGCTAACGGTGGTACTGCTACCTATATTTATATTTATTCTAAAAATTCTTAAGAGATCGTATATATAAAATGCGCGCGAAGTAAATATTTATCAAGAGATGTTTTCCGTGGGAGATGTGTTTTACTTTGACTGAGATTAAGAAATAAAATAAAATACCTTTATTTTCATGAGACAAAACAACGCAGCGCACATCAAAAAACTAATAGCACGTAAATGAAAAATAGTGAACGGCGTTTTATATAACAAAAATTCCTTGAGTGGGGAGGAATAATTTGTTCTTTGATTCATGGGCCCAATATGTAACACATTTTGTTCTATGCTACAGCGAACGGAGCTAAGCTATGTTTAATAAATTTATCAAATGTTAATTTAATAAATTAGTTTGATAAATTAATTTTTAAACAGTAGTTATGTTACGTTTATTAATTTATTGATTATGCCTCCCTTAATTCCATGAGTCACAGCTTAGCATATCGTAAATGCTAAGCTATGACCGTTGGAAACCATGTAGAAGAGAAATAACATTTCGGAAACTTGTGGTCTTAAAATAATAAAGGCATATTTTTTTTTTTTTTTTTTTAATTCATTACTTTAGAAATTTCATACAACAAAATGTCAAAATCCAGTTCAAGTTACAGTGGCTGTTCGCTCATTTTTAAGATGATCTTGGTTTGCTGTAAAATATAACCTTCTGCTTGGAATGTTTTTTAATTCAGTTACATTTTTGAAACTATAATTTATGGTTTGCTATTTGATAGTTTTGTTTTTATGCAAAATGTCGCTTTTAAAAAAGCAGTGGATGGAAGGCTATGTTTGTGTTCTTTCCAAAGAAAATTATTCGTATCTAGTTACTAAAACACGTTTGGAAAGCCATGGTTTTTCGATATCTAAAGCTTCAATAGGTAATGTTGTCAGCAACAAAGGAGGAAAAATTTCAAAATTTAGCTTCAAGTGGAAACATTGTTTCAAATATGTATCCAAAGAAAAAAAATGGAACGTTTCGAATGTTACAAAAGTAAGATCCTTAATGTTAAAAGAAACTCCTCCCGGTCAAAGGACAGTTAAATCATTAAAATTGTCAGTATCAAATATAAACAAGTGATTAATACTGATTTTAAACTTAAAAAGGCGAAAAAACGTATGTGCATCGTCTTTCTCCACGACATATCGCCGATCGCAGAACGCGCTACAGAATTCTTTATGAGAAATATTTACCTGGATAAAAATGGAAAAGTGTTGTCACAATAGGCGAATCTTGTTTGTACTTAAATTCTTTATGAGAAATATTTACCTGGATAAAAATGGAAAAGTGTTGTCACAATAGGCGAATCTTGTTTGTACTTAAATAAATATAATAAAAAGAGATCCGTTTATTATCATCAAAGAGGAGAAAAATGTCTTAAAGCATAGTTCAAAGAAGCTAAAGAAAGTTTTTCTAAAGGATTTATGATTGCTGCTGGTTTTTCATATAACGGCAAATTAGAAGAGAGTGGAGAAAAATGTTAAGATCAGGAACGTATCTGGTACCCAATTTTTAAATATGAAATATCTTCTCTTTACACACAGTGTGATCAATCAATAGAACTGCACCAAGACAAAGCAAGCACTGACGCGTCAAAATCTGCTTTTAATTTCCTGGGAAAAAATAGAACAAGAAACAGGTATCAAGACCATATCCATCACTCATATCCCTACTAAATCTCATGATCTCTCATCAATGTATTTTTGTGCTTTTGGACTCTTAAAAAGCGGGTTATACAAATGTCGACCGACAACCTCCTTAGACTTTTGGAAAGCTATTCGAAAGCAATGGGATAAAATACCTCTGCCGATTGTAGAAAAGGCTTTACTGTCTTGGGAATTACGGTGTATAAAGATAGTGAAGAATAAAGGTTATCAAACAGAACATTTAAAACCTTAAAATTTTAAGTAAAATACACTCTTTTGCAAAAAAAATCGAAGTTCCAAGAAGGACTTTTGCGGTCGAATTTTGATATACAAAAACATCATGATCGAACCTGCAAATGGTCAAAGTTTCAAGGCTAATAAATAAACAGGAATTGGGATCATAGCGCGCATTTCTAGTGCGCAATTCGCAAAATATAAAACCAGAGGCGGAAAATTTATCTTTTTTTGTTGCTGCCATTGTAATCCGTAAAGAAGCAACTAAGGATGTCATTATGACGATATCGAAGACCTTAAAGACAACTAAACGACTTCGAACGTGGTCACATTGTAAGGTTGCGTGAAGCTGGGCGGTCATACCGAGCAATAGGCGGCCACCTGCAGCGTGCTGCAGCAGCATAGACACTGCTGTGCAAAGATGTTGGCAGCAATGGTTGCTACAAGGAAATTGCTGACGAAATGCTAGGCAAGATAGGATGATTGTTCACCAGGCCCGAACCGCCCCTACGGTATCGTTGTTGACTATTCAACACACTACAGCCACGTCTATACCTCCCGTGGTAACGACCACCATCTCACGGCGCTTGTCTGAGGCGGGGTTACGCTCACAGAGGCCTTTAACAACACTTTTGGCTTTGACCCTACAACATCGGTGGAGTCGTCTGGAGTGGTGTCGCAGCCGATCATAATGTCTGCCATCAGACTGGCATCGTATAGTGTTCAGGGATGAATCCGACTTCACTCTTGAAGCAAATGACCACCGTGTTCGTGTCTGGAGAGGATGGAGCCAGCAGTCCCAATCAGCCTTTTTTTTTATAAAGGCATACAGCCAGAACCCCTGGTGTGATGGTGTGGGGCACTATTTCTTATGATAGCAGGTCATCTTTAGTCATCCTTCGTACATCTTTAACAGCTGAACAATATGTTGATACCATTCTGCAGCCAGTTGCATTACCCTTCATGGCACGTCATCCTGGGGCCATTTTCCAACCAGATAATGCCAGGCCACATACCGTTCGCATATCTCTGGGTTGTCTCTGTGCGGTTGATACTCTTTCTTGGCCAGCAAAGTCACCAGACCTTTCCCAAATCGAGCATGTCTGGGGCATGGTAGGCCGCCAGATTCGGGCACCACAAAACATCACAGATCTGGAGAACACAACTGACGAATACCTGGCAGAATGTGTCGCAAGATGGCATTAGGAACCTCTACCACTCCTTGCCTGGACTAATTCAAGCATGCATTGCCGCCAGGGGCGTTTCAAACAACTACTAATTTGAACACTCAATGGGTGACTGTGAGTCGTGAATAGGTACTATAACCTTGACTTTTTAATCATTTTATTGTCTGTGCATGAGCTATACACATTCAGTTTTATCAAAAACAACCACCTCCTTCATGCTGCTTCGATTTTTTTGCAAAAGAGTGCATTTCTGTAATTTTAATGGAAATCGTCTAAAAATGTACGAACAACCTCCGCAAAATTTATGAATAACTTACCTGCTAACCATTGTACGTTAATCTTCTAGCCTTTATGTTTAAGCTATATGCTTTGTATTATGTTCTAGGGATGTATGATTATATCTGGGCTTCTACAGTATGTCGTTCTAGCTGCATTTTTCTGGATGCTTGTAGAAGGGCTTCTCTTGTATCGAATGGTAATACTTGTTTTCGAAACGAAGAAGATGCGATTACCACTTGCTTATGGATTATCATATGGTAAGTATGCTCTTTAAGAAATGAAAGTTGCAACCTAATCCCTAGCTTAATATCTGGAATGCATCTTTCTAATATTTGAATTGCAAGTTTATCAATAAAACGAAACCGGATTTTTGTTGCAATGCGAATTATTTATATGCGCATTCCTGTGATATGTTTGATTTGTACCCAAATGTAATTTTAAACTTACTACCTAATTTTGCAATAATCACAGCTAAAGGAGAGTAATAAATGAACCAAGCAGGAGTTTCGAATAAAAAAGAGTTGTGATACATATACTAAGTAATATGAATAACATAATATGAATAACTTTAACTATAGCTATTATTTATTTGTATGTATTCACGACATGAATGATGTAAATTTAGTGCTAAACATCTCTAAAAAAGATCCTATATAGGCTAAGATTTGGCATTGTGAAACGAAGCGAGTCCTATTCATAGTTTAGATATAAGCTACGCAATCATTTCCCCCTCCCCTCGATATAATTGCATATGTAGCTTCACTAATTGATTTGGTATAGGGCTTAATTTATAAAATTATTAGTGTTGGATTTCTACGGAAGGAGAGGAAAAAATAAATAAATAAAATAACTTCTAAAATAAGAAAGAAGTGTAATTAAAATAATAAAATAACTGATTAAAGAATAAAATAATTTAAATTAAATTTAAATTTAAGTAAAGTGTAGAGATAAATAAAAATTTAATAAATTATTGACTTTATGTTAAACAGTTAAATAATAAAATACCGAACCTCCTCTTATTTAGCACTCCGGCTGGAATCATAATTTCATTCAAGAAATTGCTCAGACGACTTTTGTCTGAAATTAAGCTTTGAATATAAGGTATAATATACTTTTTCAAAGGATGATGGAAATAATGACATTTCCTTTTCCAGCACACGAATGAAAAAAGATAAAAACGACTAAAGAGTCACTAATGAAAATAGAGAAAATATTAGGAAGAGTATGAGAATATGGAAAGATGTTTTAGAGAAGAAAGTATGGCTGCGTAAACAAAGACAAAAAGACTCGAACAATTTCTTACCACATTGCTCTGCCAATATAATTCTAGCTGTCAAACAGAATGCCATAAAGAGAACAATTTCCCTTGAATCTGATCCGAAAGCTCTGTTCATGCTATAGTTTTCATTCTCAGTATTTAGTTACATCACTTAAAAAGTCTGCAGGCGCTTTGCAGTGGGAAGTCTCTAACTTCTGGGCTCACTTTGGAAGTCACTAGCTAGCCATTTTCGAGCAATAATAATAATTTTAAATGGAAAAAAAAATAGAAAAATTAAACTATCTTAGGATCAAGACTCCTGGCGCAGGCGCCAGCAATGGTTTGACTTTTTTTGTTCAACTTGACGTCTAAAACTCGTGATTTTGATATATATTTGATATATATTTTGATATATACCAGATTCGGCTTCAGGATTTTAGGAATCGTTAGGCGATCCTGTATATAGTAGGCTTCCAGTGGATATTAAACACATTAATAATTCAGAGCGAAATATACCATTCTTTATTCTCACTTGTGATTGCAACTTAATTGACTCTCTCCGAAAATCAGTATCCTAGGGCCTAGGAAATTGCCTTTGTCACTTATGCATTGAAGCCCGACACGTAACTTTCTCCGAATTGGTTCTTTCTAATTTCGATGTAACTTGATATGCGAAGAATACGTATGATTTTAGCCACCCAAATCGATCGGACTGTTTGGCTTTCTTAGCGCATGCTCTAATATTTGTAATTTTCGTACCTTACCTGTTTCCCTCAAAACAAACTCGCAAATTTTCTTATAGTTTATTGATCAAATTAATAATCTACTCCTGATGACAACATCTAATTTTTTACGAAATCGATTGCATAATTTTCGTTAACGATTGCATAATTTCTGTAAACAATTTGCTTTTTCCTTCGAGCGCGCCTTCGTGGTGCACGTCCAGCTAGCAATTGAAAAGTCTAAAGTTCGAAACCCGACGAGAGCATCCTTGACTCTACATGTTTCCTAGAAATGAATAAATCCTAACCGTTCTACAGTGGCGAGTGAACTAAAATAATTCTGCCCTTCCTCACGCGTGTATCTATGGTGTAATTGGAAGCACGTCTGGATAGTAATCGTAAGGTTCGGAGTTAAATTCCGGTGAGAGGCATTGTTGAATCTTCATTTTTCCAGCTTTTCAATATGTATAGATACTTGTTTTTCTCTCAAACGGCATCATCATTTTTCTTTTTGATATAATCTGGTAGCGTATATGCTTTTTATCCTGGCAAAAGACTGCTATTAATTTTCAGTGAACTCGATCCAGCGATTTTTCTTGAGGGTATGATTTCTTCCATCGATTTTGATATAATTTTTGGGTTGGGGCAGGTCAGAAATCCATTCAAATGATTGTGATGTAATTTTGGGAAAGAGAAGCAACGTAACACTTTTTTTTATGTGTTAACTTTAATATAGTGAAGTCTTTCATAATGACCACATCCCTTGGAAACTAACTTTGACCTGCTCCGAATCTGTAAAGAAACAACATCGGTACTGAACATAACCTAAGACGACCATCGCGATAGAAAACCAAAATCATCTGCAACCTACGTAGTATTAATCTTAAATCTTAAATCTGTAGCTTTAATTTTCAAAGCCAGTCAACTTTCTTTGAAATGGCCAAGATGATTATTATAAATTCACTGGAGACTCCAATTTAACACAGTTCAAAATGTCATTAATAACATTTTTGAAATGTGAATTAAAAGACGCACATAGAATACCGCATTATAACATAAACTAGAACGGTGCAGAATTGTGCGGTAAAATCAAGGAGGTTAGAAGAAGCTTAGTTGGATAAAATATGGTTCCTACGGTAAAAAATGGATAAAAATGGGTGTCACTATCCGCTTCCTGTAATTGGAGTAAAATTACAATTATATTCCAGCTTCTTCTCTATGCCGCGATTATCGAATGTTTTAGCCGATGTATTCTGGCTCTTACAAATAAACGCCATAAAGGCGCATCACATTGAATTAAACATACTACTTACGAAAAATTATTTCTGCAAGCTGACAGGTGCCAAATTTATTAAAAATTCATGTTTCATCCGGCATCGTCATTTTTAATCGTTTTAATCGGTACTAATGTTTTGAAGAGGTAGAGATATAAGGAGCAAGAGGTAAAGCTATAGGAAAAATAATGCGAATTTTCATAGAAAAGACGACCGATTTTTTTACAAGAGACATACAAAAGACAAGAGATAACAGAATTTAACATCTGTTATATCATTAGCTCAATTCCAGATTTTTTGCATTTCACCTTTCATTGCGCATTTTATGGAATTTGCTCATAGAAACAGTTCAGAAAAAGATGCGAGAAAGAATGTGGTGTCAAATACTTTACCTAGCAATTTCCTTTTTATCATGCTAAGGAATGCTGATACCTTTTACTTTTGCGGGCTCCAAAATGCTAATTAGCATATAAACCGCTGTGAGCACACAATACCGAGAGCTGATAAGATCTAATCTACACTCATGTCCATAAATTAAGGATAATGCAAAATCAGGCAAAGGAAGAGCTAGAAGCAAAACAAATTTGACTTCTTTGTAAAGCTTATTTATTAAACAAAAGGTAAAGAGCAAAAAAAGGTGCTATATGTTTGATATTATTAAAAAAAATTAGCGAATTGCGCCATATTATGGAATTTGCTCGAAGTCAAACAACAAAAATCAGCGTTATTTACAAAATTTTCACAGGACTAGTTTCGATGGTTTTACCGAACCATCATCTTCAGCTGCAAAACCGCAAATGAACAAGATAGGAAATAATGATTAGATAAGATAAGAAAGCCTGGACAAGAATAAGCAAGTGGCGCCATCTGTTGGCGAAACCAGAACTAAAACATAATTTCTCTAAAAGGCCGAAGGCAAATTTGGATTGGAATTAGGATCGTTAACTAGAACAGAAAGATTTTTATGAATGTGAAATGCCTCTAGAAAATCCAGTTCTCCAATGGAAGATGTTTTTTGAATAATTTTGGCAGCAGAAAAATTGAAAGTGTGATTTTCGGACCAACAATGTTGAGCAACAGAAGACTTCTGTGTTTCCTTTTTTCTAACATATGCCTCATGTTCTTTGACGCGAAATTTTAAGGCTCTCTTAGTTTGGCCAATGTAAATTAAACCACACTGGCAAGGAATCCTATAAATACCCCAGGAATTCATATCCGGAATGGGGTCCTTGAGTATAGAAGTTGGAATTTTATTGATGGGGGAGAATAAACAACCCGAAAGTTAAATTTCTGCAAAATATGTGCAACTTTATAGCTAATTGATGGAAAGAAGGGAATGACAACAGAATTTTTATAATCTCCTAAAATAAGAGTGTGGCTTTTAGTGTGTTGAGATGAGAATTTTTTAACTGCTTGATTAATAATGTTGGGTGAAAAGCCCCTGTCAATAGCTATTGCTTTTAAATAATTTAGTTCTTCATCAAGGGCTAGTTTGGAGGAGCAAACTTGAAGAGCACGGAAAACATAGGAATAAAATGAAGCTAACTTTTGTTTAGTCGGATGACATGATTTAAAGTGTGGTGGAAGGCAAACCGATGAAGGTTTACGGTAAACTGTAGTACTGAAGTTGGATGTGTTACGTGTGACCAGAATGTCGAGAAACGGAAGAGAATTGCAAGTCTCAAGTTCAAAAGTGAACTGAATAGCAGGATCAATAGAATTCATTGTTGAAAGAACTTTATTTAAATCATCTTTATTACCTTCAAACAGGGTAAAAGTATCGTCTACGTAGCGGAACCATGCCGGGAAGTTTAAAGTTTCAAACAATTTTGATTCATAATAATGCATGTAGATATCAGCCAGGATGGGACTGAGGGGGCTTCCCATGGCTAATCCTCAGTTTGCTTGTAATATTTATTTTGGAAAACAAAATGTGTTTGTTTCAAACAGAGTTGAGTGAGAGAAATTAGCTCATCAATTTCGATGCAAGAGAAATGAAATTC